TTCAGATGAGCAAAGAATGATTCCTTTTAGTATAAGTATGCCCCGTGCAATATTTGGAACACATTTACACTAAAAAGTAAAAAAAAAAGGTCACTTATCTGAAAATCACATTTAACTGGGCATACCGTGTCTTACATGACAAACCCACCCTCTGTCCTTCACCAGGAGGCATCTCACTCTGGAGCCAGGCTATGCTGATGGCACCCTGACTCTGTTGAAGGGTAGCTGTGTGACTAGCTCCCAAATATAAGGAGCGGGGCTAATGTTAAATCCACCTCTAGGTAGATGTGGGGATAAAGGAGGTGGAAAGTGTATACTAGTAAGTCCGAGTTACGCCTGTGTAAATGTTGCATATCCTCCCAGGACTCACAGTTCCTATTACCTGGGTTTATTGTAGGGGCTGATGCTTGCTTCAATTCTAGAACCTTCCATGGAGCCTCAGATGCTGACATCAGTCTGCCCCAGAGGCAGGGATAGATAGCAGGAGAGAGGGGTGGGGTTAAGAACCACAGAGCAAATCTGGACCTGACTCACTGTTTTTGTGATGGGGTGCAGGCAGAGTTGAGGCAGAGTGTGAAAGCTAGTGTGGAGGCTGGAGTCAAGGCCCTGAACCCTCAGGGCCCTTGGGTCTCATTTGCCCTAGAACATTAGCCCTGGTAGTCCATACTTTTGAAGAATGTCCCAGAAAACACCACCCCTGCTTTCAGAATGTCAGTCAAGGCAAGGCCTTTGGGCACAGCCACCTTAGACAGAAGATAGGGCTTGCAGGATGTACTGGTTCAGCTAGGAGGGCTGTGCTCCCAGGGAGCAAGGACCAGCACAGAGCCCTGCATGCAGAATCCCCAGCTCCGCCTCCCTGGGTCCTTCCCTCAGTGATGGCCTGGGGCTCGCAGAACTTGCTCCAGAGGTCCATTGGGGATTACATAGCCAGCCGACAGCTGCTGAGCCCTGGCCCAGAAATAGGACTCCAAGAAGCACCCTAGACCTCTGTCATGGAAGTGAAGTACATCCCTGCACAAGCTCCCAAGGCCTTGCTGATGTTCTAGAATCCAAAGATGCTGGTCCCAAAGAATGGTGCTATTGCCCCAGGAAGCTCTTCCCTGTTGGCCAGGGTCTTCCGCCACCCTGAGCCTGGGGCAGCTTGACGTCAAAGCTGAGATATTAGGCAAAGAAGCAAATGTGACAAATTCAGAGAAGGCAAGCTACAGTACAATTTCAATATCTTCCCGCGGTCCTTCTCTGTGCCAAGGGGTTTCACACATAGTATGTCCCAGTACCAACTCTGAGAGCTAGTATACCCTTTCCACAGACGTCAGCATTAAGGTTCCGAGGATTTGTCCCCTTTGTCCTGGGGCCTCCTGGTTTCCAGGTAGGACCTCTGCCTACTCACGAATTCCAATGGGAGATGTTAAAGGTCGGAGAGCAGAGGTGGGTGGGTAGGGTGTAGCTGTCTCCTGCTGTGCCCCTCCTGGCCACACTCGGAACTGGGAGAAGGACTCACAGTTGGGGTGGAAGTGCCAGGGTACCCAGGCGGGGGGGTGAGATCTCATGAGTCCTCACACTCTTCCTAGGACCTGAGCTCTCCTTAGTGAGGTTTCTCTCGTCTCACCGGGAAGACAGGAGTGAGGAAGATGCCATACCTCCCTCACAGGATTTCATTTTACTACTCTGGGCCCAAGTGGTTTGTGTAAAAAGGGGGAAGGCCCTGGCCAGGGGCTCACTGGGTTGGAGCATCGGCCCATGCACCCAAAAGTTGTGGATTAGATTCCAATTATGGGCACATACTTAGGTTTCGGGTTCGATCCCAGGTTGGGGTACCTACCAGAGGGAAGAAACCATTTTCTCTCTCTCTCAACCTGTCTCTCCTTCCCTCCCTCCCTCTCTAAAAATCAATGAAAACATATCCTCTGTTGAGGATTTAAAAAAGAAAATAAAAAGTATAAAAGTGAAAAAAAATAAAAGGGGGGTAGAAAGTGTTAACTAATACAAAAAATGTTCTTTATGCATCATTTTCAAACTTCAGGTCTTTTTGTATCACTAATTGTTTATATATCCCCAACCGCCTACATGATTTCTTGCTGTCAGTTCCAATCTAGTTACTTTTTAAAACTTAATCAGATACTTTTTAAGAATGAAATCAATCCTAAGTGTCTGCTTTAATTTGCCAGTCATATTTTTCTTATTACTTTTAAAATAAATAGAAACAAACAAAAATAAATAAATGCATAAATCCATATTTTTTTAAATAATGTTTTCCAAGTACCACCTAAAGTCATCTTGTTGGGAAGCAATGATTTGGTGCAAACCCTCAACTTTGCCCTGTTTCTTCCTCAAAAGCCCACCCACGGACCCTCAAGGATGGAACAGCCCAGGCCGAGGGCCGTTCAGGTATCTGGGGTTTAGAGATCATCACACACACTCAGGCCAAGCACTTGCCTTTTACCTCAACTGGCAGGCTCCTGCCTCCCTCCCTTCTCCAAGGCCACAGGACAGGTGTCCTGAGGGGCAGCAATCATGAACGCTGAGTGGGGAGATGTGGGGGGTCTCACAGGGAAGGGAGCATTGCTCTAGTCTTGGTGGGGACAGAGCTCCTGGCAGAGAAAGGGAAAAAGGTGAATTCAAGTCTTTCAAGCAGAGATGGTGGGTGGCATAAGCAAAGGGCAGGAGAAAGGGCGGTGGGCACTGCTGCCCTGCATTTGGGGGTGCCCCCGAGGCTGAGCCCAGGTTAAAAAGGCACAGTCCGCTGGCCCCTGGCCCCAGAGCGTTGGCCTGCACAGTTTGAAATTTAAATAGCTTGCCAACTGAAAAATTGTGGGGATTTTTATCTAAAACACAGATCCTTGGCTTTTCCTATTTAAGATCCGCCCCCTTTCCTCAACTCCTTGTTTCCATAGCATTTAATGACCTTCGACCTTCTATAAACTCTGTGCTTAATTAGTTAGGTGTAGTGCCCCCCCCCCCCCATGTAAACTCCATGATGACAGGGGTTTTGTGCTTTCCTTACTAAAGTATTCCGGTATTAAAGACATGTGTCCGGCACTAGTAGGTGCTCAGTAAGTGTTTCAGCAAATGAACAGTGGAGGTGGTGGGCTCCGGAGTGTAGGTCCTGGGGTTTCAGGGCACCGCCAGCCAGGCTCCCCTCTTCCCCAGCCACGCAGCCTCTCCCGCACTCATTTGGGGGCAAGAAGGAAGCAAGCCTGAGGCTTTGACTTCTGCTTTGGTCAGACTGGCAGGCGAGGCCGCCCGCAGCGCACGCCGGGTTCCGGACGCCAGGTGCGCCCCTAAATCCTGGCCCGCCTAGTTTATCCAGCAACACAAGGATGTGGGGAAGCGCCTTAGCTTGAGCCTCTAGGACCCCCGCCCCCTTCCCGCAGACGGGAGGCAGGGGGAGGGACCTAGGGGAGGACGGGGGAGATTCACCACCAGAGGGCGCCCGAGCCCAGCCAGCCGCTGCGCTGAGTGCTGTTGGCAGCAGGCCAGGCCTGGAGGTGACCTGCTCCAGCTCTGCCTCAAAGAGATGGAGGCCTGTCCAAGGGTGTCTTCTCCACTGGATTGTCAGTTCTTCACAGGCAGGAACCAAGGCAGGGGGGTTCCAGGCTCCAGGCCCAGTGCCGGAGTGAATGGGGAATGAGTGCAAGTTCACAGCGCATCTAATTGGGCAGGAAAGTAGTTTTGGAGAAAAAGACAAAAGACACCCATCCCCAGGACTAGAGTCCTGAAGCTCTTGTAGGTTCTTGCCGACCCCCCCCACCCCACCCCCCCACTACCCTCTCGGATGGCACCGCGCTGGAGAAGAGTCCCGGCCCCTGGGCACACCCACTTCCTCGGTGGTCCAGGTTGCTGGACTCCTCCGGGACAGAGGCCTGCCCCACTGCGTGCTCCCTTGATGGACATGGGGACAGAATCCACTCCACTATCTGGTTATGCGGGAAAGGGCAGGAGACATGGCTGGAGCCGCCTGTGGCACCAGGAAGGCCCCAAACAGCGCTCTCCTCACCCCACCCCTCCAGTGGTGCCCGCTGCACCCCTTCCCGCTCCACCACAGCTCTCTCAGTGCCCACAGGGACCGGTGGCCTGCCAGGGGCGCCTCCCTGCTGTTCTCCCACCAGAAAGGGCAATGCCAGCGGCGTGTCAGGGGAGGGCAGAGGGGAAAGAAGAGGAGTTCTCCTCTTAGCACTCTGGGTCCTGCAGGACATTCCCTGGAAAGGGGGAGAACGCAGAGGTTTACAGTTATTCCTGGCCTCCATGTAATGAGTACCGAGGACTTCTCTGTCCATTTCCCCAGTCTCACCCCCAGAAACTGTGAGTAGCCCATTTCTCAGTTGAGAAGACCAAGGCGCCAGGGCCTGAACTTTGTAAGAGCCACGGGCGATCTGCTTTCCGTCCTTTTGGTGGCACATCTTACCTAGAGCCCAGTTTTACAGTTGGGGAAACCGAGGTGGGGCTAGTAAGCAGTAGTGTGGGCTTGGGACTCGAGGGAGTTGCTCTGACTGCAAAGACGGTCTCGTGCCCACTTAGGCCGAGCTTTTGGGGCCCCGCAGTGGGCCTGGGCAGGAGGTCACCTCGAGGCCCTGCACTCCAAACACAATACACTCTTAGCTGCTGCATCCGATGCAGCCTTCCCAGCCGGCCCTCCGCCCTCCGCTCCTCCTTGTTTTTCCTTGCTTCTCATTCAGATCTCGCCTTTGCACTCAAAGTCTCCATCTGAGCACTGAGCACGGGGAACAATAATGAGCCCTCAGGCCAGCCTCACTGCGAGGCCGGGTTCCTCACTGCAAGTCAGGCTTACAGAGCAGGGCCCATAGGCACCCGCGGAGGCCAGCGGCCTGGGCGCACCGCAGCCCCGGAGCGCCCCTGGCAGGGAAGGGACAGTTGGAGCGGCTCTGCGGACCGGACGCTGGTCAGAGCCCCCGGCGGTCGCAGCTTTGGCTCCGGGCCCGCCCCTCGCCGCGCGTCCCGCCCCGCCCCGTCCCGCCCGCCCCCTCCAGCCTCTAAAGCGTCGGGCGCGCCTCCCTGGCTGCCACACTTTCACTCTCCGCAGCCGCTTCAGCTCAGCGTCTGGCTTTGGTCCTCCCACAGCCGCCAGCCCGTGCCATGGATGCCAAGATCGTTGCCGTGCTGGCCCTGGTGCTGGCTGCGCTCTGCCTCAGTGACGGTGAGTGTGCTTGCGGCGGAGGCCGGGCCGGCACCTGGCTCCAGGCTCGGCTCAGGGCGCCGGATCCGCGCGGGGCCGCGACTCCTCTTCGTCCGCGCCGCCCGGAGCGAACCCGATGCAAACTGCTCTGCAGTGAAAGACGCTGCCCATTTCGCAGGGCGCGCTCCCTCCCGGTGCGGCGTCGAGTCCCGCGCGCAGCCTAGCGCCGGGACGCTGCGGCTTTGCACTTCGCAGCCGGGCTCGGGTTGCGGGAGCGCAGAGCGAGGTCCTGCAGGACAGATAACTGGGTGAGCGCGCCGAGGGCGAGTTTCTGAGTGGGCGCCGGAGAGGGGTGGGGGAGTGGAACCGAGTTGGAAGCCCAGGGGGGCGGGGGTACCCGGCCCTTGCCCATCCACCCCGGAGCTAGAGTCTTCCCGCGCCTGGCTAGCTTTCCAGAGGCGGGTGGGCTCAAGGGCTGGAGGTGCGATCGATCGGCGGGTGGTTGGTGTAGGGAAGAGCTCTTTGCAAGCCTGACAAAGCGCTTGTGGAGGCTGTGCGATCCGGTGCAGCAGCTTGGCGGTCCCTCCGCGAGCGGCCGGCGCTCACTCTGCAGCGCCGGGTATGCGAGCAGCTGTCGGGTTTGCGCCACCCACCTGGCCGCGCTTCTACACAGCTCAGCTCCGAGGTCCGAAGCGACGCGCCAAACCTGGGCATGCACCCAGCCATGGCCTCCTTGTCTCTTCACAGGGTCCCTCTAGAGAGGCCCTGGGGTCATCACAGTCGCATTTGCCCATGTACCCAAAACACACCTGCAGAAATGCGCCTTTGTGCAGCCAGGGCACTGGCCACCTCAGAATGAGCTCTACCACAAGGTTCAATCGCCAAGGCCTTAGGCCATTGTGCGAGGCGGTGTCCAGTTTCACCGGGAGAGCGAGAGAGCTTTTTTCCTTTTGAAGCGTGAGAGAATCGCCCTGTCCTGTCACAGGACACCGCCGCTGCTGCAAACCAAAATAAACTTGCAAAAAAACAAAAACAAAACCATGTTAGTAAGGCCTTGCTGCCTGTTCTGTTCTTGGCTGCGAAGTTTACAACAGACTCTGCAAAGGGACGAAGGACACTCCGAGTCAGTGGTTCTCAACCTCCTGGCCCTTTAAATACAGTTCCTCATGTTGTGACCCAACCATAAAATTACTTTCGTTGCTACTTCATAACTGTCATGTTGCTACTGTTATGAATCGTAATGTAAATATCTGATATGCAGGATGGTCTTAGGAGGCCCCTGTGAAAGGGTCCTTCTACCGCCAAAGGAGTCGCGACCCACAGGTTGAGAACCGCTGCTGAGTGCTCTTGGTGCCCCTAGGGTCTGTGCAGGACGCAGGCCTGGAGCACTCGGCTGGGTTGGGGGGAAGACTCCTGCTGCCTCCTGGCAGGCTGTGGTGGGGGAGCCGGCTTGGGTAAGGTGAGCTCTCATGCAACTGGACCAGGCAGGGGGCCTGAGCTAATGGGTTCTTGGCTGACCCCTGGAAAGTGCTCTCTAATAGTGTAGCGAGTTGCTGGTCAGAGCTGCAGAGGGACCAGATCAAAGGCAAGTTAAAAAGTTTCTCCTGTTGAAACAGTATCCTAGGCTGGGATCTCCACATTGACTCCCCAGGTCAGGGAGGCATTCTGGTTTGGGAATTAACAATTGAATGGTCTTGTGAGAGTGGAGGCGCCACCACACACCCCTCTCTCCAGATAAATGCTGCTGCCCTAGCTGCAGAAAGGACTGGAATGCAAGGACTCAGGTCATTGAATCCTGGGCATCGCTGATCTGGGGGGTCGCTTGCCCCTCATGGCAGCCAAGTGTCCAGTCCAGAGTGCTGGACTCCAAGCTGGCCTGCTTCTCCTTGCATGCCCAGGCCAGGATGCATTTTTTTTTTTTAACTCCTGGGGCCCGTATCCCGATGCTGAGTTCCACAGCTGCTCCCGGAGATACCCTTGTGCAGGCTCAGGCTTGGGATCCTGCCCTTCCTCCCTGGCTGACCTCAGCCAAGAAGCTGGTGTTCTGGGTGTCCCAGCTTCCAGGGCTTAAACCGAGGGTGGGCCCCATTCCCAGGCTCGGTTGGAGAGCCTGGCCAGGGTCTGTCTTTTCATTAAAGTGGAAGTCGCTCTGCTTAACCGCTCTGAAATAAAGCGAAGGTCCCAACCCTCAGTAACAGCTGGGCTAGTCAGGTGTCTTTCTTGTATGTGATGTCACACTCAAAACAGTTGGGGAAGTCAGGAATAGTGACAGGAAGCTGTAGGAAAGGACACAGTGGACGCAGCCCTGAGTTTTCTCCATAAGGGCACTTGGACTCTGTCACTTGAAAAAACCATTGAGGCCCTGGCCAGGTAGCTCAGCCGGTTAGAACCTCGTCCTGATATGTCAAGGTTACAGGTTAAATCCCAGGTCGGGCACATGTAAGAATCAACCAATGAATGCATGAATAAGTGGAACGACAAATCCATGTTTCTCTCTCTCTTCCTCTCTCTCTTCATTCTTCTCTCTAAAATCAATAATAATAATATTAAACTATTGAAAATCCCCACTTGATAGACAGGCACCTGGGTCCTGGGAGCAGGAATAAGAATTGCTCTGAAGGAATGGATGATCCCAGAGGATGAAGGGAGGGAGAGGAGCAAATGAGAAAGCCTGTGTTTTGAGTCCAGCCTAAGCCTGGCCTGTCCTGAGTGGAGCCAGGACGCCTCCTTGGACACTGGAGAGCAGCAGCCCCCACCTCCTCCCCCCGCAGCGCTCATACTGTGCGCCTTCCAGCTCCCTGTTGCTCCAGGATTGAGCCCTATCCTGGCTCACCTCAGCCCCAGGCCCTGCTCAGCTCAGCAGGACCCATGAGAATTCTAGGGAACCTGGAGGCGGGCTACTCAGAGGGCGACCTGGCTCCTGCTTTAGCCCAGCTGCCTCGCTCGGCCCTGGGCTTGCTTTCCAGGTGATCCGGTTACCAGGCAGGACAGAAGGGAGGTGTCTGTGCGGTTGCTGAGAGCCAGGCCCCATCAGGGACTTTCTGGGTTTGATCTGGGTCCCTGTGAAGGCTGCTCCGTGCTCTCCTGCACCGTGAGTCCACTGAGCGCTCTGAACCAGGCTTTATTCCTTCTGTTTCTCAGGACATTGAGTTTGGTTTAGGGGAGGGGGTCTGCTCTTCCAGGACTTGGTGGCTAAATTGGCCACCCCATGCCGTTTCTCAACTGAATGCAGCCTTTAGAAAAAAAAAAAAAAATCTAAGCTGTCCCTACTTTGCAAGCTTTCGTGCGGCTTCCCCAGCTCTCTTACCCCAAAGTGCACAACCTCAGAACCAACGGGAGACCTCTGGGAGCCCTGTAAACAAGACACTTTAAAAAAAAAAAAAAGTCTCTGGACTAAATATTCTCAGACATATATTTAATCCCTGATGAAAGGATCCACAAACTCAAATAATTTGGGTTATTAAGTAGGGCTTGGATAAAATCTGCAGGAAAAACCCTCACAGATCCCAGCCTCCCCGGGCTTGCAATTCTAGACTTAAAGGGTAAGGGTGGGTTCGGCAGGAGCCCTTTGCTAATTTACACTAATGAGTGGCAATTATGGCATTTTGGAAATTGGTGAATGTGCAAACAAAGATGTAATACAACCCAGGAGGCCGTAGGGTCCCTGCAATGAAAGCCATATTTGACTCCACCCTGATAGTCTCCATGCCTCTGGGAAGGGCTGGAAAGAAGTAGGCCCTTGTCCTGTTCTCTGGGGACTCCCAGGTAGGAAACCAGCCAGGATTCCTTTGTGGCTGCCTGGGCTTAAGGTAAATGAGGCGAGAAGACTGCAGGGGGCGGGGGTAGTGGAGGGCAGTAATCCCAGGAAGTGGGTGATGCTCCTGGGATGAGGCCTGTGCCAGAGGAGGGAGGAGCGCTAGCTCGTGGACCTGGGTCTGAGCAGGGAAGACTTCCCCAGGTGGCTCTGGAGAGTTACTTTCGCACAGAATAGCTGGGAACCTCGGTGCCTCTGACTGAAATAGTTCTGTCCTGTGATTAACATCCTTTATCTTAAGAAATCTGAGCAGGGACTGCTTATTGTCGTTTTCCCACCCTCCCTCCTCCTAGGGTCCATCTCTCCACAGGTCCTCTCGGCCTCTGGCCCTGGCGAAGTTGAGTCCGAGCCCCCCAAGGAGGAGGTCTTTGCATGGATGCACCAGTGGCTCACCCATCGCTCTCCATCCTACCGTCGTTCTACCATCCTTTCCCAGCTGCACACCCAGATACGCATGCGTCTCTGAGGCCTGGCGGGATAATAACGAGCTGCCTTGTTCTGATTGCCTCTTATAGGGAAGCCGGTCAGCCTGAGCTACAGATGCCCTTGCCGATTCTTCGAGAGCCATGTTGCGAGAGCCAACGTCAAGCATCTCAAAATCCTCAACACTCCAAACTGTGCCCTTCAGATCGTGTAAGTCTGGGCGTCATCCTCCGGGAATGTTGCATCCATTGGGCACAGTGACACCTAACTGGCGGACTCGGTGAAGCTAGAGAAATGACACATGCCAAGTGTCCGGCCTTGAACTTGGCATAATTAGAGGCAGCTGTTATTACCACAAGGACTTAGAGCGCAGGAGTTTCCAAAGCCGCCCCTCAGTGCCCTTCTGTGCCCACAGTGGCCCTTGCCTCTTCTTTCTAAGCGTCTTCCCTCTGGCACAGGAAGTGGCCGTGCCTCTGGACTAGAGAAACACTGGCCTCCCCAAAGTTTGGGCTCGAGTTCAGGTCTGGCAGACACAGAATCAGCCCATAGTGGTACCCAGATTTGAACTTCCATCCACTCTGTCCCTGGGCTTACGTGTATTTCTGTCTTCCTTGTACTGTCAAGATGATTCACCAAAACAACAATCTGCGGGTACTCTCCAGCTATCCTCACAAGCTCCCATAACCTTGCAGATAAGGTCCTTCTTTTTTGCCCCTACATCTGGCCACAGGCTCCCTGCGTGCCCTGTGTCTTGCTCTTGCTTCTCAGGCTCTGTGTTCCGTTTCCCTCAAATCCCAACCCCAATGATTCCTATGGGGACTCTGCCACGCCGGCACCTGGCTCCAGGGAGGGTCCCACGTGGGCGGCAGGTGAGCCGATGCGCAGGTGCACACCCGCCTCTCCTGTCCTTGCAGGGCCAAGCTGAAGAACAACAACAGACAAGTGTGCATCGACCCGAAACTGAAGTGGATTCAGGAATACCTGGAGAAAGCTTTAAACAAGTAAGCACAACCGCCAGAAAGGACTTTCCACTAGAGCCACTGGAGGAAAGCTAAAACTGTGTGAAAGTCCTGAGAGGGCAAAGGCGTGGGGAGGAAGGCCTGCGTGGCGAGGGCCAGGTGTGCGCTTGGGGCAGCGCTTTGGCCTGGGCACGGGCGGGAGGTTTGCCCGGCATGTAGACATCTGCATTTATAGCCTATGGTACGATATCACAGCTTATATTCATTCACCCAGACCCTTGCACATTGGCTGTTTTACAGCTGGGGTTTTTCTGAGAAATTGTATTATCCCAACAGCATTTTCCACCAGTCACTTCCCCTGTGATCATCACAATCATCATCATTCTCGTTATCCCTTTTAAAATCAATGATTACTTAATATCTGTATTTGGTTTGCTTTGGATTTTTCCTCTTCTCCCCTGGGGAGTCTGGACACAGTCAGGTGATGGCCAAGCGTGGAGCTCAAAAAAGTGGCCTTCCTCCAAAAGCGGAGGCATGGAGGGAGACTGGGGGCTCTGGTGGGGCGCACCCCTCCTGGAATGAGGGCCCAGGGCAGCCCCAGACACTGGCCGTACTAGACAGCTGCCAGCACCCCCTCTTTCAAGCGCAGGGCATGGACCTCCGGGCTCCGCACCGCAGCCATCACTGGGGACTGTGCTCAGAGACCCTCTCCTGCCAGCGCATGCTTTCACCTCGCTTCCGCTCGCTCGCATTTCCCTCCGTGCTCGGGGAGGAGGGTGACCTGGGGCTGCGGCCCGCAGCGCCCTCCTCCCCGTGCCCTCCCTCCTGCTCAGGCCCTCTGTGAGAATCTGCTCCAGCCTCCCCCAAAGCGGAGCTGGCCTCCCGGGGCGTGGGACCCCGTGCCCCCCCCTTCCCATGAGAGACAAGTCTCTGCAAACTCAAATGCATTTTCAACCTGAGAGCGTTCTTGGAGGAATCTGGTTTCAGTGATTGCCTCTGAGGCATGTGTGTGCCCCGGAGGCTCTGCAAATGCTAAGTTTTCTGAAACCTGAGGTGCAAATTAAATGAATGAAAGCGCCTCTTACCACTAACTCCTGCTCCTGAAGCCACAACAGCTCAATCCGAGATGCTGGCAAGGTGAAATTTCCACCCCTAAATGTGATCCACAGATGGGCCTGGTGGTGTTTGTAACGTTTTGCAAGGCATTTTTTTTTATATATTTTTGTGCACACTTTTTTAAACATTTCTTTATAAGACAAATGTATTCCAGAATATATTTATAGTCAAACAATTCATACGTTTGAAGTGGAGCCATATGAATGTCAGTAGACACATTTCTCTATTACCTTAAGCTACTGGCAGTTTGTAAAGAAATACATAGAAATGTGATGGAAGCTTTTCAATGTTGGGCACAGTGTATTTTTTCACTTGTACTGAGATTGTATCGAATGTGACATTATATGCACCAGCAATAAAATGCCAATTGTTTCATGGTACAAGCATCCTACTGTATGTGGGAGTTATTGTCTGAAGTAAACCCGTTAGCTGTGAGACATGGCGCTCTTACACGTTTCCCGCCTTCCCGACGCGGGTCAGGTGCCATGGGTCCCTCCTGCGGGTTCCCGTGTGGGAGCCAGCACACGGGCCTCGCCCAGGAGCAAATGCAATCTGCGACTCACGTTTTTGCGTTTGTTTTTTGTTTTGTTTTGGTTTTGTTTTTAACCCAATGGAAGCAGCGGTGCTAGTTTTCTGAAGAATAATATTTGACTCACTAATTCCTCTTCCCCTTCCTTCTCCTCGGTTCTCCTAACATCCCCACGTAATCTCTAGACACTCAACCCTTATAATATCCAGCTCTCACATTTTCCCATGTACAACTCCCATCCTTCCAGCCCATGGTTCATATCAAGCTTTCCCAGGAACAGGTGGCCGTATCCCATAAATCATTAAATACCATTCAGCTTGAATCATTTTAATGTGACAGTCACGAGCCAGTTGCTCTAATAAAATTCTGCTAACCAGCTCTCTCCCTCATTCTTCAGAACAATCTCAGCCATTCCCAGGGGTCTCCACAGGCGTCCAGAAAGGAGAAGGTGGGATGCTGCTGCCTTCTCTCCTCCTGGCAGGCCTACTAAACCCTGGGCTCGAGACTCTGATGTGCAATGCAGTGATTTTTCACGTTAAACAGAGAGCTCAGCTCTGTGTTGAGAAGGAAGGAAGCCTGGGAAAGCAGGTGGGGGGAGACAGAGATGCAGTCCAGCCTGGCCCTGGTTAGTCTTCACACCCTTTTAGATGTGAATTCCTTTCCCCACTGCAAGCCGCAGGCAACAGCGGGAGCCAGGGTCACGTTGGCAAATTGGCGATTGCTGTGCTCAGTTCACAGGTGTGGGGAAGCCTCGCATTTTTGTGAATCCAAGCAAATGTCTACTTTACTTCAATGAGGTGCTGATGGACAGGGCCTTGCCCAGGGGCCTCCAGGCCTGAGGACAGATGGCACCAGTCCAGGGGCCAGTGTTAATATTGTGCAGAGTGAGGCAGACTCCTGTTTATTTCAACGTCATTAATGGTTCTACTAATTTTATCTAAGGGGGCGCAGAGAAGAAAAAGTGGGGAAAAAAGAAAAGATAGGAAAAAAGAAGCGACAGAAGAAGAGAAAGGCTGCTCAGAGGAGGAAGCACTAGTTTCTGCCGCCCGGAGCTGGACCGCAGTGCGCGCTGTGCTTCCCTCCCAGCGCTTTGTAAATTGGCTCTACCCTCCTCAGAGCAGACCCCGGCCTCCGGGGCGCTCGGACTCTAGGGGAGCAGCGCTCTGCCATCGCTGTGGCCATGCTGGCCCTGCCTGTTGTGCTTACTGAGACCCTCCTGGTCTGCTAAATTCTGAAGACAGTAGTTGTGCAGAGACTGAGGTTGGGGTCCGGGACGTGGAGACCCTGCTCAGGACCCTCTAGAAGAGCCCGGGACTCTATCTAGAGTGACCTGGGTCTCCATCATCCCCCGAGTTTCTGAGCCTCCCACCTGCCCTTCACTCCCTCCCTTAGAAGGCCCATGAGCCCTCCGGGGCACACCTACAGGCTGCTCCTGTCTGAGACCAGTATGCGCCTGCGTGGCCACCACCCAACACAGTCTGCTCGCCCAGCACGGGCCCCGGCCAGCAGGGGGCATGTGCCTATGCCCTCTCATTGCTGCCGGTGGTGCTGCCCAACCAGGCCTTTTCAGGGCAGAGCTGGCCTGGCCCTTCCATTCGAGGTGATAGTGGACTCCTTTGCCCCTGTCCCTTGCCTGGCCCTCACCTCTGCCCCCGGGTGGACTTCTCCAGCCCCTTCCCCAGGCCAGCTGTGTGAGTGGCTCCCCCTCCAGGCTCAGGTGGGTCTCTGAATGAGGTGCTTCTCGGTGCGCCGGGTAATTTATTTTAGATTCCTTACACGGGTGTGGAGGCCCTCTGTGAAGGGCCGGCAGCTCTGGGGCTCCTAGCTCCCCTCCCCCTCCTCTGGAAGAGTCTCTGCGACCCTGCGGTTAGGTTGCAGGACGGACACAGCTGCCTCAGTTCTCACTCCTGGGAAATATCTGCTTAAAGAGACAAGGTTTAGATTCTAGAACTTCACTCACTGCCCTCCCTACAGAATTATGTCTGAGATTTCTTGCCAAGTCTAACTAGGACCAGAAGGAGGGGGTCGGGGGAAAGCAAGGCCCCGATGTCAGCACTGCTTTGACAAAGGATGCCTTGCCTATCTGCCCTCCTCCCACTCCCATAACACATAAACACACCCACACCCCAGCCCTGGTCACAGTTTCATCACATGGATCCAGAAAGATGCAGGGGATGGAGGTTAGAGCTGACGGGTTTCAGGAGAAGAGAGTGCAAGGTGCCTGTGTGTCAGACTCCCCTGTGTCCAGGTGCCCTGTCCCCTGGTGCTCTAAGGTGCCCCTGGTGGTCACAGCACAGAGCACCACAGCTTCCCTTTGCCACTGGAGAGACGTCTTTGCATCCCTTCTAGCTGGCAAAGGCTCCCAGCCTCACTCCTATTGCCAGCACGGGGGTGGTAGGCCTGTGCCTGGATGCGTGGGGGCTCACACCCTCCGTCACACACTACCCTCCTGCCTCTGAGGCATCCGGATGTTCACTGGGTGGCCAGGGCCGCCGTCCTTCCTGCAGAAGCAGCAGCAGGCCTGGTCGGGGAGCCTGGCTGGGCTGTTCCTAATTTGCACATGCGCCAGCGAGACAGAAGAGCAGACCTGTGCCTCATGCTGTCCTTCGCTCTTTACACTGTGGGAGCAGCCACCTCTGCTAGAGAGGGTGACAGGTCCTCCCTGAGCACAGGAGCAGCTGCCCTTCAGCAACAGGTCAAGCTGTGGCCAGCCTGCGTTGACAAACCAGTGCTCAGGGGGACAGTGCCCCTCCTGTCCTGGAGAGGGGGTGCTGCGGGGACTAAGGGAGCTGGCCCAGGGTTAGGACCTGCAGGCCAGCATCGTCCGGCCGTTACACGACTCCACCGGCCCTGGGCTTCACTGTGTCCGACAAGCCGGCATAGCCCCGGCCCCGTGGAAGGGTCCTGGGTGGCTGGGGAAGAGCCGAAGAGCCGGGCCTCAGTGCAGAGCCGGGCTGACACTGGGCAGTGTCCCGTGTCTGCTCCAGGTGAGTGGTGTGTGAGGTCTGCAGTGGCGAAGGCCTGTCTTGTCCTGTGGCCTCTACACCAGCCTGGCTCCGTGCCCTCATTCATCTGCCACGATCATGCTTCTGCCCATCTGTCCTCTCCCCCTCCCACCTTCCTGCCACCCTGTGCTTCGCCATGGCCATGCTGTCTCTCACCGCCCTCCCCTCCCCAGGGCCTCGGAAGGGAGGTCAGGAGCTGCCTCCGCGGTGGGCTGGGCGCCTCATGCGAGGCCGGGCCTCTGCGGGAACCTGCCTTAATGGTGTCTCCCTCTCTTCTTGTTAACAGGAAGTTCAAGATGTGAGAGGCGCAGGCTGGGTCAGCGCCCAGGAGGCCTCCGGGGGGAGGCTGGGCGAAGCCAGTGTTAGGAAGGGCCCCGTGGTCACCTGGCGCAGCCGGGCAGGGCCCAGTGCGCTCCCAGGGCTTGGTTTTGCACAATTTACCTTACTTTCACCGTTTGATTATGTAGCAAAATATATTTGGATTTTTTTTTTTTTCATTTAGCTTAATTATCCAATGTCACTGGTGACAAATAGGAACTTAGACAAAAACCATTATTTTCTGTGCATTATTATATCTGTAGCGTGGAGCCCCAGTCTGACTAGGGGTCCCTGAGTGTTGTATGCCTCTGAGCTGCACAGACTGGGACCCCAGGCTGAGGGGCAGAGCCACCAGGAGGGTCAGGACCCATCTGCAGGCAAACCGCAGCGAAGGCGGCCACAGGGGGCAGGAGGTAGGTTCTAGAGGCCAGGCAGGGGTTTCCAGGCAGGCAGCAGGAGGGAGGCCAGGGCGGGGCCTCATCCGCGCTCTCCTCTCCATCTCATCATGCTCTTCGCATCATCCTCTCTCTCATCCATCACCATGTGCATCTGAGACTGTCCGTGACCCGGGAAGGACTCTCAAGACAAAAGCTTTTGTTTAAACTGGGCCTCAAGAAACAAACCAAAGTGTATTCTGTTACCAGGTCCTGGAAACGCTGTGCACATCTGTGTCTACTTTGCAATATTGTCTGTTGTCTGATCCTGTTTTCTTGTTCAAAGCCGTGTCCTCGGTGCTGCCTTGTCAGTTCCCCACATGCAGAGGCTGAGGGAGAGGAGCTGCCCGGGGGACTTGAGCCCGGCCCCTGGTTAGGGCTGCCGTGACGTGGGTGGGGTGGCCTTGCTTTCCCCACTGAGCACAAAGCCATGGTGGATGGACGGAGCCCCAGGGAAGCCAGTGTGCATCAGTGCTGACCTCCAAGAACGCGGCCCCTCACGTTTCCATAGGTGGGGATAGCTCAGAGCTACAGACAGTTGTGCCTTTATTGGGTTAAGCCAGCATTGTTTTGAGAATAACAGAAATAACAAGAAAAGAGTTGTTATCTTGGTTTTAAAAACACAATCCATAAAATACCTCATCGTGGGTATTGTTTTCCTGATTAAATCTGACTTCATCTCTTCTCCATCAGGCAGCCCATCATGCCTCACCTGCCTGTGGCCCTGGCTCTTCTGCTGCTGCTGTTACCGTTGCGTCCGGGAGGCCCACCCCGGCCTCCCTTTTAGACGGACGTGCAGGAAGTTGGCAAAGAGCCCTGCTGCTGGAGATGTTTCCCTTTGCTGAGGGCATTTTGTGGAATTATATTAAACAACTTAAAAATTTCACTTTTTAAAAAGGGAGGCACTGAGGGGTTTTTGCTTGTTTTGTTTTTTATTTGGTCTCACTAATACTTTCCCCCTTTGATTGAAGATCCAGTAAAGTTTTTAAAATTCAGAAAGTGGAAAAAAAGAAGGCAAAACAAGGGATGTATCCATTGACAGGCCCCTGCAAACAGCATGCAGGAAGTACGTTACAGGGAAATGAATTTGAATTGTAGGTGTTTGTAGATTTAATAATCATTGGATTATCAGGAACAGGTGTTAGGCATTTCCATAAGTATTTCTTAAAAGTGAATCTTCATGCTACAAAGCCATTCCATCAACCAAACAGGTATTCACCTCCTCCAAGCGGCTACCTTCTATTGGAAGCATAGAGCATGGGGGCTTTTATCAGTTATAAGGCAGACAGGACTGGTTTTTAAACCCTCTTTTAAAATTAACCTGTCACTACAGGGCTCCTGAATTATACATGAAATTATTATTGCATTTTCAGTGGGAGGCTCGTTTTCTAGGTATTTAAAAACATTTCCAAGATATTTAAAAACCTCATGGAAAATGTGGAAGCTTCTTCCCCTGGAATCCATGAGCCAGAGCCACTAAACTCCCAAGTCAGAGGAAATACGGCCCTAAATCTTGACTGCAGTTAAATATAGAGTCATTTCTGTGTCTCCTGACAGGAGGGGAAATAGGTAAGAGTAGAAGCTGCAGGGAAAATTATTTGTGTAACAACTTCTGTATCTGCAATCTGCTCCTGAAAGGAGACGTTCCGGCTAAAGCACACACGTTTAAATAGTCCCTTTGCAAAGGAAAGGCTCTCCCTCTTGCTTTCAAAACTCAAGTCAAGTGCATCAGGTGATCAGGGTCACCCAGCTGTTCCTCCAGGCCCAGCACTGCCTCTACCTGACCTTCCCTCGGGCTCAGCATGACCTCCAGGGCAGCCCTTCCTCACCAGCCTCTGCATCACGTGGGGTGAACTCTGGGGACTGGGGCTCACTTGTGTGCTGTGTGTTGGAACCTGAATCTGTGCCATGTGTTGTTCGTACTGTTCTTTGTCCTGCTCTGGCCAGGTGCTGAGAACCCAGCGAGGAGCCTCAGAAGGAGCCCCCTGCCTGTCTGAGCAGAGGGCCTGCGTAGCAAAGGCTGCTGCGCCCCTGGGAGTCCTGAGGGGGGTTCTATGGCACCTTCCTTTTCTGAATACTGCCTGGTGTGGCCACACGGTCTCCCGCACTGGGACTGCATCACCCTTCTCAGGGAAGTGCCCTTCTGCCGCTGGATGAGATTTGTGGGGTCCTCGCCCCTCCACACATCTTCTCTGACCCTTTCTGAGGGAACCCACCCTGGGAACCACCCATGTCCTCTCAGCAGACCACTGACATAGCCGAGTTGACAAACCCCACAGGGAAGTCCTTAGTCCCCAACCTCGCTGGACTCTCAGCCCCTGAGCAGGGATGGGTTCAGTGTTCAATGTGATAAATACTGTATCTTGTTTTGTTTAAATTGCATCTCCCAGATAATGTGAAAATGGTCCAGGAGAAGGCAGCTTCCTATCTGCAGTGTGCTTTCTTAATAAGTAACAATTCCTTTTGAGAAACAATTTCTACTTTCATATCCATGAAAAGATGTACTGTATATGCACTTATAATTGTTCTAATAAAGACATGTACTCAAATGCAGCAGCCGACCGGCTTGAAAATTAGTGTTAGCATTTGGAGTTTTCGGGACTTGGTTTTCCTCCCTCGGGCCCCAGGGGCATGTAATTCTAGCTGCAGTGGTGAGTGGAAAACAGGCCATTGTAATGCTAAACATGAGCCAGAGCTCTGGGAGCTCACCTGCCCCCCTCCTCCACTGACCATGAGCTGGGAAAGCTGCACCCTCTCCCCAGGTGTCCTTGACTTTGCTGGAATTCCCTCTGAAAGACAAGGCAGCCCTCTGCTCAGAAGGGATGGCTTTGGGAGAGGGCCCTGGTGTTTGCTTGCTGGAGGCTGTGGGAAGGAGACCTCCACTCTGGGCTTGTCAGGCTTTAGTGGGAGACAAACAGGCCCGTCCCTGAGGGCCCTGCTGAGGACCCTGCACCAGAGCCTTTCTTCCCAGACAGGGGCCCTCTGAAAGCCAGGCCCTGACTCTCTCAAGGGCTATCCAACACCATCCTGGGGTCTGCAGCGCTGACCGGCAGGGCTCTGTCCTCACGGAGGTCAGCCCTTCCCACTTTCTACCTCATTCTCTCTGGTCCACAGTCAACCATGCTGGGAAGGGAGGCCCACACAAACACCACTGATGTCTGAGCCCAGGGCGTTCTGTCCTCCAGACTCTCTTGTCCCAGGCTCAACGCGACCGCGTCACCACTGAGCCCAGATCCTCCCTCCTACGTACAGGGTGACCACAGTGTGGTTGCTAAGGTGCAGAATGGACTGGGCGACCAGAGAAGGGTTAGAGGAGGCCACAGTGAGCGGCATCGTGGTGTCCTGAGACAAGCGTGGCTGTGAAGGCTGGTAGGCCAGTGCTTGAGTCCTGGTCTCTCTGCTCACTCTGGGATGTGAGACACACCCCTTGCCTTGAGTCTCAGTCTTGGCTCCCAGCTGCGACCCTAGGCTTAGTAGCACCAGGAGACATGAGGGTTAGACTGGAACAGTGTGCATGGCAGCCATTTCCCCCCTCTCTCAGCCTGCTGTCCCCTAGGGTTCACTGCACTGGAATCAGTCCACACCTGCCTCTACTTCGACCTCAGCGAAGCTCAGACACCAACTAGCTATGAGTGACTCAACTTGAGCTTCTCACTCTCAGCTGACAGGTGGGGAGAAGCCTCTTGGGGTTTTGTGGGTTCCCCAAGAGCCCGTGCCGTGCTGGTCCACACACTCTACCACTGTTCTAACTCTAGGAATGAGCAATCTCTGGGTTAACTTTTAAGAATGAGGTAGACTCTTCACAATGACGTAGCATCCTATATAATAAAGAGCGAATATGCTAATTAGACTGAACAGTAGAATGACCGTCTGCAACCTTCCAGATGAAGCTGGAAGCTGTGAGGGCTGAGCGCCTTGCATGAATTTCTTGCATCGGGTCTCTAGTTAAAAATAAAGTCCCTGGTCTTTCACGCCCTGCATGGCTGCTGGCCCTTATTGTATTAGTCAGCTGATAACCGCCATGCCAGGCCTATTCTAGGTGGTGTGGAGACTTCGGTGGACAAGACAGCTTCCTCTCTGACTTCATGGACCTTGCAGTCAGGGCGCGGGACTCACAACTCAGGGAGCATTTTCCTAACGCATGCTAAGGGTAGGGAAGGAGTCAGAGAAGCTAGAATGCCATCCAGCCCTGGTGAAACTGAGCCCTGAAGGGAGCAGGTTCTTTTGGGGGTGACCTGACTCACAGGGACTGCCAGTGAGAGCCTATGTGAGACCAAGCTCTGAGTTAGAAACAGGAGTTTTTTTCTGTCAGAGGTACAGCTCCCCTGGGAGCCCAGTTTTCTGTCCAGAAGCTCCAAGCTGGGGTTCAGACCTCTTTGGAGCTCTAGGCTTCTCTGCTTACAGCTGAGACCCTGGATAGGGAAGTGTGGGTAGTAGAGACAGAGGAGCAGAAGGAGCTACAACTGGATGAAATGGGTTTGGAGAGAGAAGTGGGGATGAGAGACCTGTTAGCTCTAGAGGGAGGTGCGATGGGGCTGCCCACAGGGGAAAGGAGTGGCTGGGAAGGTCCCTTGAGTGGTCCAGCTGTATGTCCTTCTCTTGGGATCTGTATATTCTAAAAAATTCCTGCTTGAAAGCTAAAATGAGGATTTCTGCTCATTGCACCCACATAACCACACTAGGGGCAATTAGGCAGGCAGAGTGGACAAGGCAGGTGGGGCAGAAGGAGGCCGTGGGCTGGTGCACACAATTACATTGGAGACTTCCTACCCCCTTTTCCCTGCCCAGCCTCCCCAAGGGTCCTTTTGCCTATTTTCTTGGTTTCAATTGAACTCCAAGGAAAGACCATTAAGAGATGTGCCTGCTGCCCTGTTAGGATTGGTAAACAACTCAGAGGCATCCCCTAAAGCAGTGATGGCGAACCTTTTGAGCTCGGTGTGTCAGCATTTTGAAAAACCCTAACTTAACTCTGGGGCCGTGTCACATATAGAAATTTTTTGATATTTGCAACCATAGTAAAACAAAGATTTATATTTTTGATATTTATTTTATATATTTAAATGCCATTTAACAAAGAAAAATCAACCCAAAAAATGAGTTCACGTGTCACCTTTGACACACGTGTCATAGGTTCGCCATCACTGCCCTAGAGCCTCCCCATAAAAGGTACACAGATTTGGTTTATGGCCTAGACCAGGGGTGGGCAAACTTTTTGACTCGAGGGCCACAATGGGTTCTTAAACTGGACCGGAGGGCCGGAACAAAAGCATGGATGGAGTATTTGTGTGAACTAATATAAATTCAAAGTAAACATCATTACATAAAAGGGTGCGGTTTTTTTTTTTTTTAGTTTTATTCATTTCAAACGGGCCGGATGCGTCCCGTGGGCCGTAGTTTGCCCATGGCTGGCCTAGACGCTCTTCCCCCCTGGAAGGGACCCGCCAACACCAACCCAACTTGCCCAACATCAGTTGTGAGATGCCTGGACCATGGCCAGCCTGTGGGGCCCTCCGAACCAGCTCCAGGTGTGTGGAGGGATCATGGGGTCTGCCCCATGGGCTGTGCATCCCATGAGGAAAACAAACCGGGACAAGCAGTTGTAGGCACATCCATCCCTGGGGCAGCCCCTGCCAGGCTGTAAGGTCCGTACTGTCTTACTGGAGATGGGGAGCTTTGTTCCCAGTGCCCTGAAGAGTGCTTGTCTTGGTGGGGGCTTAATCAGCATTTGAGGAGCAAGCTGATTCTTCAGGTTGAGAGGCATCCACAGGCCCTCGGGAGGCAGCCTCCGGGCAAGACACAGCCAAGCTCTGGTGTTCCTACCCGACGCTGGAGCTACTCTCAGATTTCAAGGAGGTTGCTCTAAGTTCTCAGGAGTTAACATTTCCTTCAGAGCAAATGAGTTGCATCTAAACTCTTGGCCCATGAAACTAAACAGAAACAAAGCAGAGGGAAGCCTCTTACACTCTTGGCCCTTCTGTTTCTCCTGTGAACAGAGGGGGAGAGAGGAGTGGCAAGAGGTGCTTATGGAGTGGGAGGCTGAATGGGAGGAGCCCTGGACTTGAAGCGAAAGTGAGTATCTGCTCATTGCTGGGCGATCCATCCCCGTGAAGTCTAACTCAGTCACTCTACTCCAGCACCTCTGCAGCTGACAAGAGCTCAGGAAAAGTGCATCTCTGCTGCCTGGTCTCTTTGAATTCGTGACACTCGCCAGCAGCGCATCCTCAGTGCTGCCGGGATCCTCTCGCACAGCCCTGTCCCACTTGCTCCTCTTTTAGGTGCTCATCGCACACTTTCTTCACTCTCTCTCTGAGCCACAGCTGTTTTTTTTTTTTTTAGAGAGAGACAGAGAGGGGAAGAGAGAGAAACATCAAGGTGAGAACAAAACATTGATCAGCTGCCTCCTACATGCTCCCCACCAGGGATCAAGCCCCCAACCTGGGCATATGCCCTGACCAGGAACAGAACCGGCAACCCCTCAGTGCATGGCATGATGCCCAGCTTGGTCTGCCTTCTATGTCAGAATAAAAGTGAGTCATAAGAATGGGATTCGCCTCTCATCCACTGTCTGTTCAATCTGTACCCACCGTCTCTGCCGTCACCTGCATGAGCGCTGTGGTCCCGGCCACCCTGCACTGGGAAGTGGAGCCCAGGATGCCTCACCTTCCCAAGGACACCTCTCCTGACTCCCCCTCTCTCCATCACCAGAATTATGTTTTACTTTCTATGTCAGCACACTAACATGCATATCTCCCATCAAAAGTAAAAACGAAGTAAAAATAAAAAGTCCTAGTCCCTATCCTTCTATTCCTTGCTCCCCTACAGCTTCTGCAGCATTTCTCTGCTTCTCTTCACACAAAGGTTCTCAAAGGAATTGCCCACATTGTCCCTCTCATTCTTGAACCCATTTCCAGCAGAATTTGACCCTACCTCTCACTCCACTAAACTGCTCTTTGTCAAGGCCATCACTAAGCTCTGTGGGGAAATCCAATAGGCAGTTACCCGTTCCCAGCTTATTCAGTCTCTCAGCATCTTTTGAATCATTGATGACCATCCTTGAAACACATTTTCTGGTTGGCTCTCAGCACCACCCTTGACTGTTCCTTTGGCTTCACACAATCTTTTTCTGTTTGTTGTTTCCTGCTCATCCTCCAGACAGCTAAACAAAAGATGGCACCAGGCTCAGTCCTCAGACATTCTCCTCTAACCTTGAACTCCCTTGGCCTTGAACACCATGTAAAGACTAAGGAATCCAGAGTGATCTCGCTTTTAGACTCCAGGTTGGTACACCCAGCTCCTCCTCTGAAATCTATCATATGCAAAATAAAACACCTAATTTTCACTCCCCCCAAACTGCTCATCCCCATTTCTGCAACTGACAATTCCATCCCTCAAATTGCTCAGGCTGAAACCGTATAGTCATCTTTATTTTATTCCCTCACAGCTCTGTGCTAAACCATTAACAAACCCAATTAGTTATCTTAAAAATATACCCAGAACCCAGTCACTTCTCACGGCTACCATCTTGGTCCAAGCCACAGCTGTTTTCTCCTTGA